CAGTATTGGTTTTTATGCTCTTGATTGTTTTAATTGTTCGATCTGTCCTCTTTGCATCAAAATGCATTGATTTTATTGATTCTATATTTCTGCTGATGTAAAGCACTTTGTAACTAACTCTACTCCGAACTCCCTCTTGATGTCAGAGCTCCTCACCCTAACCTCTAAGGTTGAGCACAGACACCCTGCAGAGGAAACTTATTTCAACTGCTTGTGTCCACAATCTCATTCTTATGGTCACTATCCAGATCTCATGACCATAGATGAGAGTCAGAATGAAGACTGACTGGTACATGGAGAGCTTTGCCTACTGGCTCAGCTCCTCTTCACCATGACGGACTGGTACAACACCTGCTTTACTGCTGACGTTGCACCTGTCTGCAAGCCATCAGTGTTCATCATACAATGAATTACTTAGAAGATCTCTCCAATGAGCTCTTGACTGAAATGTCTAATAGCTTAATATTGTAACAATCAATAGGCAGGGCAAGGCATATTTATTTGTATAGCATATTATCATACACATTATCATCTTTTATTTCTGTGCTTAACAGAAATAAAAGAACCATAAAGACAGAAGTAAAAAGCACAGTAAGAAAACAGTATGCAAACACAGATTATAAAATAGGCAATGTGCAAGATTAAAGTTTAGATGAAGGCAGACAAAAACAGAGCAGTTTTAACTTCTGTGTAAAGTTTAATTTTGGGCAGATTTGATCTCCAGTGGAAGACAGTTCCAGCAGGTGGCACCATAATAGCTAAAAGCCAATTCACCCAGTTTAGTTTTTACTGTAGGCACCGCTGATTGAGCAGCTCCTGAAGATCTTAGAGACCTATTTGGCTCATATACATGGAACAATTCAGAAATATATTTAGGGCCCAGACCATTTAGTGTCTTATAGACAATAAGTAAAACTATAAAGTTAACTCTGTATCTGACTGGAAGCCATTGTAAAGACCTGAGAACTGGAGAAATATGCTCTCTTTTCTTAGTTTTAGTAAAAACCAGAGCAGCAGCATTCTGAATAGGTTGTAGCTGTCTGATGGTCTTATTTGGTAAACCAGTGAGGTCAATAATGACTCTGGAAGATATAAAGGCATGACTGAGTTTGAGTCTTGATTAGACGCAGTCTCTGACCCCAGCTGTTTCTGATAACCAAAACATAGATTTTGCTATACAGTAGGTTTGATGTGGTCACTAAAACTAAGATCATCATCCATTTTAACATGAGTGTTTGATGCTCCATACTAGGTAGACACTAAGTTGTAACCTTCCTTCTTTGTTCCCAAATAGAACTATCTCAGTCTTGTCTTATTTAATTGGAGGAAGTTTTGTTGCATCCAGCCATTCACCATTTCAAGGCACAGACAGAGAGAATCAATGGGACTGAAATCATTAGGTGAAAGAGCTAAATAAATATGCAAGTCGTCTGCACAGCTGTGATAAGCCACTCTGTGGTCTTGGAAAAAATGGCCAAGAGGGAGCATATAAAGGTTGAACAAACAGGGCCAGAGAATAGATCCTTGTGGGGCTCCGTATGGCATAGTAGTTTTAACTGATTCATGATTACCGATAGAGACAAAACACAGTTATTTTACCTGTCTGTGTGTGCGAATGTCATTTAGTACCTTTAAGAGGCCAGTTTCAGTACTGTAATGTTGACAAAAACCTGATTGGAAGTTGTCATAGTAGCCATCTATGTACAAGTAGTTACTGATTTGGTTAAAAACTACTTTCTTAATGACCTTGCCTATGAATGGAAGGTTTGAGATGAGCCTGTAATTACTAAGTACAGAGGCGTCCAGGTTTCTATTTTTTAGGAGAGGTTTGATAACTGCAGTCTTAAGTGATGCTGTACAAGTGCCTGAAAGAAGGGAGCCATTCACAGTCTGTAAAAGTTTGTATTTTAAACAGCTAAAAACACTTTTACAAAAACTTATGGCTAGGGTATCAAGGCAGCAAGTGGATGGCTTCAGATGCAGCAAAATTTCAATAGCAGTAAATTCAGACATAGAGACTATATTTTTTCTGAATGTTGGTATAGGTGTTGTAAGGCATTGCTTGACTGGGTGGAACTAATACTTGACTGAATGTTTTTTGTTTTAGAAAAAGAAGCAAACTCATTACATGTTTTAGTGGATATAAACTCTTGAGTTAACTGTGTTGTGGGATTTGTTAATCTATCCACGAGTGTTGTTAATATTCCCATTAGTGACGTTAGAGAAGTAAAATTGTCTAGCTCTGCATAACTCTGAGTTATAGATATGGAGAATCTCTTTAAAAATGGCTCAATTTAGTCAATTTTGGTCAGGTTAGGCTCGATGTGTTTACAGAATGTACAGAATGCTGCGTTTAGTCCACTTTCTCTATTTCTTATCAAGACGGGAATTGAGGAAGCCTCTGGCACACTGGGCCCCTCCCCTCCTGGGAAGAGTCATGAGTGACATTCTGGAACCAGAACACTTGAGTTGGAAACACAAACAACTGAATGTACTGTTCTTTTATCAGGCTGGGGAGACTGAGGATGATTCTGATGCTGCCATAGAGGAGGGTAGGGGATGTCATGGCTGTGACGCTTGTGTTGGTGGAGCTGGAGCAGGTGAAGTTGGACGGGGAGGTTGCAGGGGAATTTGAGGAGAGAAAATGGTGAGTAGGGCGAGGGCTGAGTTGGATCCGAGCAATGACCAACTTTTTCATCTGGTCAGTGAACTCCAAAAGGGGGGAGGAGGGGGATAGGGTACCTGGGGAGGGGGGTGACTTAGTTGGGGTTTTGGGAGTTGAAGAGGGTTAATTCACTGTTGATGGTAAGTAGGGTGTAGCATCCTGTTACTCTTTGTTCTGACGTCTCTCATGATTAAGGCTCACTTCAGGTGGGGGCAGAGGTGGCTGCATTTCTTCCATGTTCTGTTATATCTTCCTCTTGTTTTGATTCCTCTTGTCTCTTGTCCTTGACAGAGGGAACTCATGGGTAATGCAGGAAAAATAGACTGTAGATGAATAGTTTTTCTCCCAAAGTCCATCCACCTTAAAAAGATGTCTTCAATTCCAGAAAAAGTTGAAATATTCAATAAATTGAACTGAAGAGACAGTACATGCAGTTGACAGCCATGTGTTCAGTGCCAACGATCTGCTGAATCTCACAGCTCCTCCTCTGACTGGTGGTAGAGGGCCACTAATGAACACCTCAACATTCAGAGAGCTGACTATGTTCAATGGATCTGTGAAGTCTCGTTTCAGTATTTCGGACTGCTGCTTCACAACATCATTGGTCCCTATGTGCAGTATGATGTTTTTCACAATTGGATGTGAAGGCACAACATGCAGGATTCTTTCTGCCATGTCAGAGACCTCATCCTTGGGAGTATTTTGGCATTTTTCCTGCACATAGTTCTCACATCTTTTACAGCAAAGTCACCCAGCCTTTTGTTCTCTGATTTACTGTCAGTCCTGACCCTTTTCTGTGAGGATGAGAGGTTATCCAGGTCATCAGAGGGAGATCCAGGGTCATGCAGTAGTGGAGCATATCTGTTCTGAAGTTGCACACTCACCTTTTCGGGAGGTTTGTGGATAGTTCTCTCTTTCGCAGCTGTCCATGGCTGTGTCTTGTTCTGCACAGGAGTTGAAGAGGATGATAATGCAACCCAACCAGTCTCTTTACAAATCTCGGGGCCGGGTTCTGTCTGTAACTTGTCGTCCCTTGTCCCAGGGGAATGATTTACTCTTAGGCTTTGCTCCAACAGAGTTCCAGGGAGGAATGCCACTTGTAGATTTATTATCTGGCTCACAGCTCTCCTGTTTCTTGGTGGTCTTGTTGGTGCTAGTTAGCTGTGTGTTAGTATGCTCCTGTCCATTGTTTTGACACCATGGTAAAGTAGTGTCATTCCCACAGAATCCATTTCCCTCCACATTCAGTTCTCAATGATGAATTTTGGTTTCCAGCACAACAATCTTCTGTCACAGTTTCTGGTAGTCATCAGTGGAGAAGGGGCATCTTGCTGCTAATTAGCTTTGGCTAAGTGCTAAGTATAAGTCACTGCAGTGCAGGCTCACACTGTTGATAGGCCACGCTCATGCAGTACAGCAAAAAAGGTTGAAATGTGGCAATAGCCTACTATATCTACAAAAATTATAGTCCCATTGATTTATCAGTGTCTAGGAGGCGCTGCTCATATTTTCTTATAACAGAAAAGCAAGAATATCAGTAGAAATATTCAAGCAGAGGTGAGAGCAAGTAGAAAAAGCATCTGCACTATCAGAAAGCAGGAAGAAATAACCACACTATTCACTACAATCCCATTTATACAGCACTAATGTTTTAAGGCACTCTTTTAACTCTTCTTCCCCCCCGACGGACCCGGTACCAGGTCCAGCAGAACGGGCCAATACATAACTGCCTGTAAAAAGTTGATAGAATGCTGTGATGGTTTCTTTTTGTTTTATTTGAAATTTAAAAAAAATGTATCTTTAAGCCTTCCAGCCAAAAAGATGGTAAAAGAAAATACATGTTTTTATTGAATGTATTGGAAGGTATTTGATTGTCTTTCATTCAATTGTGTTTCATGTCTCTATCACATACCAACTTACTGAATTTTAAACATGCAGAATAAGATAATCAGAGAAAAGAAGACAAACCTAAAGAAATTTTACCTCTATGGATTTGAACATCAAACAAAGAAAGACAGCTGGAGAAAGTCTAATTCACATTCACTAGAGCTAATAAAATTCTCAAACAGACGTATTAAGAAAAAGCACACAAGGAAATTAAATGATAATGGACATAAAGTCATGATTTGCAGTGTTCTGCTAATTCTGTTCTATTAGACTTCAGCCAGAGCCAACAAGCAGCACAGGGATGCTGTCATACACAGTCAAAAAGTCTGACCTCTATTAACTGCATTGAGTACAATTCTAATACCTAACAACACGGTCAAAAATAAAGTCCCATTGTGAACTATGTAGGCTTCCAAAAAAAGGGGCAGATTTTAATGTGTGTGTGTACCTTGAGAAAGGGGTAGTGGGCCAGCATGTTGGCCACCTTCTCTGCATTGTGTCCCTCATTGAGGAAGTCCAGCTCCAGTGGCATGTTCTTCTTGGCCTCTTCCACCAACCACATGAAGGCAAAGTCTGGGAAGAGCCAATGGACCACTCTGACTAATACCTTAAAATGACAAAATATTATAATCAGCCTCACTGTCCAGTAAAATAAAACAGGCCTGTACAGGTATACTCAGCAAGCACTTTATTAGGAAGACCACGCTAATACTGGGTGATTGTGGTTCACTCTGAAGTTTTTCTGCTCAGTTGTAAAGAGTGGTTATCTGAGTGACTGTAGCATTTCTGTCAGCTCCAACCAGTCTGTCCATTCTCCTCTCTTTTAACAACAAAGTATTTCCATCCACAGAACTGCAGCTCACTGAAGGTTTGTTTGACCCATACTAGTAACAAACAGTCAAGATATCTTCAATTTTGACTGTTCTTTTTTGTCATTTGTTTCTTGTGAATCCTCCAACTTCAGGGAGGATGGAGTATGAATATGTAAATTTATCTTTAAGCCTTTAAGACATTTGCCAGTTGTGTGTTGGGCCATGGACATGCAGAGAATAACATGTATCATGTCTGTGTCTCAGATCTTTGAGCCACACGAACAATTCTTCATTTATTTCAAAGTAGTTTAACAGACATATACTCACCTCCATCACCACTATGTCCTTGGAGCTTTGTCTCTGGACTTTGGGGTGTTGGACCTTGACAGCCACTGTCCTCCCATCATAAAGCACTGCCTTGTGGACCTGGGCTAAGGAGGCTGCACCCTGAGGCTTCTCCTCAAAGGAGACAAATAACTCTGACAGCTGCTGGGGAGAGATAGGGAAGAGGAATAAAGGAGTGGGAGAGAGCAGAGGATAAATGAGGTATAGATAAAGATAAAGAGGACAGGAGGGAAAGGGGGACTAGGGAGTGGGAGAAGAATGTGATCATCAATCTGAACATCTCTATTTACAAACTATTATTGGATAGCTGCAAAAAAATTAGGTATACGGTAAATATGATTAATTCTCTCCATTTTTGCTTTGGCAATATTTGGATTTGTTGTGTCATGTTAATAACACAGTAACAGGTACACATCATGATGGTTGGAATTAGACTGTTGAACTGAAACCAAAGCAACATTTGGACCCAGACGGGGTCAAGAAGAGACAAGAGACTACAATGTGAGATGTGGAAATGTGAGACTGTCCTCCTGTGAAAAACGAGCAGGCAGGTCGTTTGTTCAGCAGCTTATTATGACCCATAGTCACGTTTTGTTGTTAGGCAACATCTAGTGGTCGCAGTAATTATGACAGGGAAAAGTGCTGTGACGTAGTGTAAAGAGCAACAAGGTCCGCGTTAGGAGGAGGTTGGGGTGGGTAGATGGGTCAACAAAACAAAGGAATATGACACAGGAGATCGGTGTTCAATTCCCATGTAAAACCAGTAGTTTATATTGCTTATATTATCCATGACCGTGATTGTAACCATGACAAAGATCGTCTGATGTTGAGGAAGTACTTATTTAACCCAAAATCATGATCTTTTCCTAAACCTAGCAAAGTAGTGTTTGTGCCTAAACCTAATCAATCCATTACCGTTATTATAGTAACTTTCCTTCTCGGTACAGTTGCGTGTTTATTATGGTAACCATGACAACCGAGGTCCCGTATGCATGCCGCTGGTAGGGGCGCTATATTAGGAAACACTCGGACTAAATACACAAGGGAGGCAGGGATAATGAGGCACAGGTGAAACACATCAGGGTGGGGCAGAAAATCACAAAGGCAGGAAACACACAAGGGCAGGAAGTGGATCTGAAATGAGAGGAGCGTTACACCAAAATAAAACAGCGTGGGACCGGCAAGATGTGTTTCACATGTGACTCATTATCAGTAATTTTAAAATGGTCACATATTTCCTTTTTGTATTATTTTATACATTTATTGTAGCACTATCTAGACATCCTGGTGTACTGTGTAAAGTTCAAATCAATGACAACATGCTTTAAACCAGACTAGAGAGGTCCGGTAGCATTACAGTCGACAGGAAGGAATATCTTCAAGTGGTGAGTTAAAGATTGATTTATCTACAAGCTTTTTTTTTTATTGTTTTAAATTAACACAATTTTTTTCTGTGAAGATTAAAGAACCCAAAAGACATTTCTGTGTTTTACAGGTTTAATTAATGCATGTAAAACAGATTACAATTAATATATAAGACATAATAGAATCATTCCTTTGATTGAACCCCAGGGCTCATTGGGCCTGACTCTTCACTATTGCACATTCCCCCAGTCAATTTGCACAGAGTACACATTTTTAGTGTATATATTTGTATTTTCTATCATTTCTATAAATATTGTTATTATTTTTTATCTTTGTTTATCTTTCTTTATATTTTATATTTATATTTATATAATTTATATTTCTTCTTATTCTGTTTGTTGCACCAAAACACTACAGCAAATTCCTTGTATGTTGTATCTTGTTGTATGTTGAAAACCTACTTGGCATTAAAACCATATTCTGACATTTCAAATTAAATAAGAAAATAGTTAATTTTTCAAGTAATTAAAAAAAAAAGATTCATAAATAAACCTGAGAATGAAACATGCTACATTTAGCAAAGCTGTTTCCATTTAAAATGCTTTGATTTAGCCAGATTTTACTTTTTACTTTATTTTACTTTTTTCTTTTTTCAACTTTTTTTAAAATTCAGTTGAGTGAATTTGTTGTGGTGATGAAGATGTTTGTAGTATTTGGTATGTGCATGTAGGATTCATATACTGTAATTGATAGCAATAAATGTTCTGAATACTATGAAGGCCAATAGCAATAAGTCAAATTATTTTTAATATCTTCATATTGTATCATATATATTTTATATAATACAGTAAAAATAATATTGTTCATATTTATATCATAATTGCTTGCAAGTCCCTTTAAGTAAGTTCTTACAATGAATGTAGTGCAGTGACAATGTTGGATTGACAATAGATTGAGATGAACTGATCCGATGGAATAAAGTCTGCTTGAGAACAAACAAATGTATTCTAATGGACTATAGTGTCCTGGACCAAAAATGTAGGCTACACAAACATCCCTTCTTCTTACCATCAACTCACAATAAATATCTTAAATTAAATTACATTTAACATTTAATTAACATTTAATCTAACAATAACATTTAATTGAAATGTGGAAAGATTTTGAAATATGTTTACAGCTAAGCAAGTGGGCGTTTGTACTGTGAAATGGTGAAATGAGTAATGAAAATGGGCTTGATTGTCACATGCGATGTTTTTATTTATGTGTCTGTAGAAAAAATAGCAAAAACAACTAAATGATTGGCTGAGATAAAGGGACTCTTTCTCAGCTGTTGTTTCAGAACCATGGACAGTGCTGTTTGTTATATCTAGGTGTGGTGCTGTCCATAGTGCGGAGCTGAGGAGACTGACAGACCGGACTAAAATGCAACATTAAATAGTGTCAGCCATAGAAATAGAGATGTACAGTATGTCAGTTTCAGAGACAACCAGCAGAACAACACATGACAGCTGCAGTGAGTCACTTCACAGCTAAAACACTCGGCCTTTTGAGCTACTCATCTGACATTTGATATTTATGATTTTGTATTAGTATTGTAAATTGTTTCTTTATTATATACTTTTTTTTCTCACACAAATAAAAAATATTGAACTGTATTGAATTGAGAGAGAGAGAGAGAGAGAGAGAGAGAGAGAGAGCGCTATAAACTGTAAACGGCTGTTTTGTCTTCCCTGCTGATTTTTAATGTTGATTGTGAAGTGTTCTGAATATTCAATGTAAATAAATAATGCTGATGAGTTTAGTTTTATTTAATTTTAACAGCTAGCACCTATAGGTATTATTGAATGTCCTCCAGGCACTGTGGTCACTTCCCTGACCCTTCACCCCCATGTATTCCTGGACCTCCTGATGTACAAATGAAGCACTGCTTTGCTTTTAAGGCATTTTGAACTGTAAAGTAGAATAGTCTCTTCTTGTGAGCAAAACTCTCTGTTATGGACATGGACAGGTTAAAAAGACAGTGGCCTGAGGTGCCCAACGTTAGCCAGTCTTAGCTAGCTAATCTTGAGCACTGTAAGTAAGTTGATATAGCAACATGTAGTAACTTCATTGAACCACATTGCACAGTATGTTAATTTTGATGACACAGTTGCTGTGGTGCCCATATTTTGGCTTTTAAAAAAAGAGGACACTGGTTAGTAGATTCTAAAATGCTACCTCACTAAACAAGGTTGCTTACCAGTGAAAGGAATAAGTTTTAATTGGCTGAAATGGGTCTTCTCTGGCAGATTGATATGACCTGTTCTGCTGTCTATAACATTAGCCTAATACATGGTCATCTCACGGTGCAGGTAAGGCTGGACCCAAATGCAGCCAGCATATAGGGATCAACTGCAAAAAAATGTATTAACTGAAGAATCAGCCTGTGCATATTCTCATTTGTCCAGGTCATGGTATCCTAAAGGAGTTTTAAATCAGGTCACGAATCACCAGTCCCAGCCTGGTCTAGACCAGTCCCAGCCTGGTCAGATGCGTACACGAACTGATGAAGCCTCTTGGATGAGAGGTGAAACGTCTTCCCAGACAAATAATCAAGTCCAGTTGCGTTTTGATTTAAAACTCCTTTAGGATTAACTGAAGAACTTACAAACAGGTGAACCAACAGAACAGGAAACCGAAGCACGAGGGCACATAAGGAACAACAACCGGAGACACAGGGGATACCACAGCCACTAGAACAGGCAACATGAACAGACCGAGGACAAACCAGACATGAACAGCCAAACTGGAGCACAGAGACTATATAGACAAGGGAGGCAAGGGTGATTGAGCAGACAATCACCAAACAGAAACAGGACCAAGACAGGAAGTAAAAACATTGAGACACACAAGGAAACTACCAAAATAAAACAGGAAGTGACAAAAGTCGAAACATAAATTCAAACCTAAAATGTCCGCCATGGCAGACCATGACAGGTCAGGGGGATTTATAACACATACACTGTCTGCCCGAGAGGGACAACCTTATGGTCCAGACATTGGGGACCTCATCCCTGGCTATGTGGGTGCTGAGCTGAGGAGTCCCTCTGCACACTCAGCTGGCCACCAACATCGTTGGTTGAATGTAGGTTTGTGATATCGGATGATTAAAATTCAATGTCAGAACAATGTCTAATGAACCTTGGTCGGCTTCTGAGGGGGACATGCCAGAAAAAGTTTGACAACCACTGATTTAGAGTAAGATGCCATGTCAGAATGTACGACATCAGAGATTTGCTTCTACTGGTGTAAAGATGTAAAATGTAAGGACTGTCTTCAGATTTGTCAAGACAGTGTAATTCTATCCTGAAGTAATTCATCATTTTGGGAAACCATAGAAAAACAGACTGACTGAGGGAAATACCTCCCATGTAAAGACAGGAAGTATTAACCATCTGTCACCTATGAATCCAAACATATTTTATTCAATAAACAAACATTGATCCCAACAAAATCATTGGTCCAGAGACTCAGCTTTCAGGACTTACATTTCCAACTAAAAAAAATGCAAATAGGAATTGATAATTTCACTTATTCAGTATTGTTTCAGCAGTGACACAGCAAGGTCTCTTAGAATCTGCATTTTCTTCCTTTGTTCAGGCAAATTTCAACTTTGTAATCCACTTTCCAGTATTTAGAAAAAAACACCTGAACTGCTTGAAAAAGTTGATTTGAGTTGCAAGGAAAGATTTGAAGATTTGTCAATAACAGCCAAAATGTCTTATTTGGTGGAA